CTGGGACACTTTGTTGAGGAACAAAAGAGCCTCAAAGACTAATGGGAACCAGCAGTTAGCGTAATGGCTATGTCACTGGACTCCCACGTAGTCGACCGTGGTTCGCGTCCCGGACCTGGTGGCTTAAACTCACGCCGGACATGTGTGCGTGCGTGCCCAAGATCCCGAGAGGAGAATGGAGGAGAAGGGATTGCCGCGTGACCATCCCCCCTGAGGGGTGATTTCTCGCTTTCTGTCTTTCTGTTTCTGTCTGTCTGGCGAGCACACACGCCCTATAGCAAAAACCTCTCCAAAAAAAAAAAGACAAATGAGGACCGCTTATGAGGGTAGGCTTTCTTTTTAGGCGAATGAAAATGTCCCGCAATGAGACAGTCGTGATGGTTGCACACCTTTGTGAATATACCTTTTTTTAAAAAAATCACTAAATTGGATATATGAAAGGGTAAATTTTAGGTTCTGTGAATAATACTTTAACAAAAGTATTACAGACAGGGACCAGCAGTTGGTGCAATGGCTATGTCGCTGGACTCCCTAATGTAGTTGGCCACGGTTCGAGTCCCGGACCTGGGGGCTTAAACTCATGCCAGGTGCATGTGCGTGTGCGTGCCAACGATCCCGAGAGGAGAACGGAGGAGAAGGGATTGCGGCGTGGCCTTCCCCCCCTGGGGGGTGATTTCTTGCTTTCTGTCTCTCTGTGTCTCTCTATCTTTCTGGCAAGTGCACGTGTCCTATAGCAAAAACCTCTCAAAAACAAACAAGCAAAAAATAGTATTACAGATATGTTATTTCAATAAAGTATTGTTAATCATAGAACACAATTTTTTAAAGAAGTATTTAATTTAATTTAATTTCTTCTTCTTGTTATTATTTTAACTTTACCAGAGAGAGAAAAAGAGACAGGGAAAGCGAGAAAGCAAACTGCCAGGTCTGGGACTCAAACCGTGTTTGGTCATGTGGGAGTCCAGCGCCCCAACTACCAGGCCACTTGCTAGCCCCAAAACAAGCACTATTAATGGAATATAATATGACGGTGATCACTGCCACTGAAGAGACCCTGGCAGTCTTGTCTGTGACATCGCTACATTACCACACAGCACTGGAGAGTGCTTTGAGCGCCGACATCTCTCTCTCTCTCTCTCTCTCTCTCTGGCCAGTACACATGCCCTCTGGCTAACAACAACAACAACAATAATGAAAACAAAACACAACGAAAAAGAAAATGTTTCTCATAAAACCATAGACACAATCTCCTGAGTTCATACTCCAGAGATGAGTTGATACTCAGAAAAGAACAAGAGAAACCGAAATAGCAAAATCACTAAGAATGCGGTACAGCTCTTTCTGTGCAGATAGCAGGCCTGCAAGCATGGGGCACGGCCCTAAAACCCGCTGGGCCTCCTGTAAGAGGTGCGGGAAGCACCAACCCCACAAAGTGACACAGTACAAAAAGGCCAAGGATTCTCCGTATGACAGGAAGCAGAGTGGCTGTGGTGGACAGCCTATTTTCTGGAAAAAGGCAAAAACTACAAAGAAGATTGTGCTGAGGCTGAATGTGTTGAGCCCGACTGCAGATCTAGGAGAAGCCTGGCTAGTGAGAGATGTAAGGCTTTTTTTTTTTTTTTTGAGCAGTTTTTGCAGTAGGGTGCATGCACTCACGAGAGAGAGAGAGAGAGAGAGAGAGAGAAAGAGAGAGAGAGAGCGAGCAAGCAAGAAATCATCCCCTAGGGGGATAGCCACACTGCAGTCCCTTCTCCATTCTCTTCTCGGAATCTTGGGCATGCACGCACGCGCGCCCAGCGTGAGTTTAAGCCACTGGGTCCAGGATTCGAACCACGGTCAACTACAGGGAAGTCCAGCGACATAGCCATTACACCAATTGCTGGTCCCAAGATATAAGCATTTTGAACTGGGAAGAGATAAGAAGAAAAAGGGTCATGTGATCCAGTTCTAAGCCTCATCTTTTTTATGATGAAGACGACAAAATCTTGAGGTGAGCGTTCGCCTCATTTGATTACAGCTGGTCTTCCTGTGAGGGGATAAAGGAATCAGTAACATTCTCCTTTTGGGGAAATTTGTTTCATGGTACTACTTGTTTTGGATTGAATCTGACTGGCTGAGCTCACATTAAATGCGGCGATGGTCTAATCTGGTGTTTTAGCCGCTTGGGCTTCGTGGGAGCCTATTAGCGTTAAAAAGCAAAGGTTGGTGGCCGGCAAGTGGCATGGTGGTTAAAGGCGCTGGAATCCCCCATGGCCGACCATGGTTCAATTCTCGGACCTGGTGGCTTGCTTTCTCACTTCCTCTGTCTCTCTCTGATCAAACCGGAAAATAATGATAATAATATTACATAAAATTAAATAAAATAATTCTTTAAAAACAAAAAGCAAAGGTTACTGGTTATCTGTTACTAAGGAGGAATTTGTTTCAGGCTAATGAGGACTTTGGGCCCTCATCTCTAGGCATAGTACACTAACAACATGGAAGTGTTAGGAGTTATATAAATTTTCAGACTTAATAATCTTATACTCCTTTAAATATTTTTATGTGGAATAACTGCAAAGAATATTAGAATAGGATTTCTGGAATCATACCGGACATTTGATCCATTCTTTAAAATCCCTTCTAATAGTTGCAAATTGTACATCCCCTTATTCAGTCATGTTTGTGATTGCACAGTAATTGTACATGTTTCTGGAATGCAGTCTGTTTTTTTGTTGTTGTTGTTTTTTTTTTAGAATTATTTTATTTGGGGCCGGCAGGTGGTGTGATGGTTAGGGGCACTGGACTCCCACATGACCGACTGCAGTTTGAGTCCTGGACCTGGCGGCTTGCTTTCTCACTTTCCCTTTCTCTCTTTCTCTCTCTGTCTGGTCAAATTAAAAAATAATAATAACAAATGGAATTAAATAAATAATTCTTTAAAAAATAATTATTTTATTTAACTATATTTATTTGAGCAGAGAGGGACAGAGTGAGAGAGAGAGCGCGCGTGCATGAGAAAGGAAAAGTGAGACAGCAAGTCGCTGGTCCAGGACTTGAACCGCAGTCAGCTATGTAGCAATTCAGCGTCCTTAATTACCGCGCCACCTGCTGGCCCTGCGGTCTGATGTTTTGATACATGCATGCATTGTGTGTAGACCAAATCAGGGTGATGCCTTATCTATCACCTTGAATATTTATCATTTCTTTATAATGAGAACAGCCAAGATTCTGTCTTGTAGCTGTTTTAAAGTACACATTGTTGATAATCCTACTATGGGATAGGAACTGACTTTCATCTAATGTACTGTCAGAGGATAGGAGAGTGTTGAGCTGCGTTGTGAAGTCCTTGGTTCTTTGGGTCCGGATCACTAAGATTAAAGACCTGTCCCTAGGCGCAAAATAAAGCCACAACCACAGTTATAGTAGGTAGAAATGAGGATTTAATAGGAAAGAAAGATTTTAGAAAAGAAGTACACCCAAAAGGCCTTTGGGCGGGCCGGTTGCTAGGTAGCGCTGTGTTTGGAACGGGTTAGGTGTTACTTTTATTATCAGAGGTGATAGTGAATGTTTAACAGTGGGAGGTCTGTCATACTATTTATGTCCTTTGTTTGAATTTGCGGCCTTTCTCTCCTGCGCTTGCATAGCTCTCTCACAGGTGAAGAATTTGCGGAATTGGATGACCTAACTGCGCATGCCCAGTGTGAGCCCTGATGATAGGAGCATCCTTATTAGGACAGACTGCCCAATTACTTTATTGCCCCAGTGGGAATCAGGTTGTTGACCAAAATGTCTGGTTGGGTCTTTTTGTATTTATGAGGAATGGTAAGAGGGAAATGTACAACCATTCCTATGTGTCTTCCTCAGGTACCAAGGAAGAAAAATGGCATTTGCCTCACCTTCCCGGTGCCAGGAACTGGGTGGGAGGAAGGCATTTCATGGAGGGTCTGGTTGTAACTCCTGATAAATTGCGATTGATGTGACACATGCCCTCTGCTGTTCTCTTAGGGTTGCCCACTCATTGGAACTGGCTAGGTGTTATTTTTATTACCAGAGGTACCAGTTGGCCAGCCTCAACTGCCTTCCCCCTCCTCCAGCCTCTGGTATCTTCTATATCGCGATGAAAACAACTGTGTTCGATTCTACACGTGACTTAGATCATGCAGTATTTATCTTTTTGTGTGGGGCTTATTTCACTTAATGACATCCTAGGGCATCCATATTGCTGCAAGTGACAGAATTCTTTTTCTTTCTTTCTTTCTTTTTTTTTTTTGGAGAGGTTTTTCCTCTCCACATAGGGTGCATGTGCTCACCAGAAAGACAGAGAGAAAGAAAGCAAGAAATCACCCCCACGGGAGGATGGCTATGCTGCAATCCCTTCTCCTCCATTTTCCTCTCGGGATCTTGGGCATGCATGCACACGTGCCCGGCGTGAGTTTAAGCCACCGGGTCTGGGACTTGAACCACGGTTGACCACATAGGAGTCCGGCGACATAGCCATTCCACTAACTGCTGGTCCCAGAATTTCGTTCTTTTTAAAGACTAGTTTTTCCATTGTTTATATGTCGTCACATGTTTGTCCATCCTTTCATTGACACATAACTGATTCAGCTATTGTGACTAGTACTGCAATACAATGGGAGCACAGTGCATTGGTCAACACTAAAGGTAACGAGGCCATGCTCCCTTTTCACTCTGGACATCAATAATTGGAAAAAATGAACTGTTTACACTGCCTTTTTTTTGTATTATTATTTTAGAGCAATCAAATAATCATAGTCGATGAGGGAAAACTCTTTACAAAAGGATCCCAGATGACAGGTCTGGCAAAAGTGTTCATGTGAGACGTTCATCCCTCGCAATCCTTAGTGGGATTATTGATTCAAACAAGGCCCATCAATACAGGAGATCATTTGGGTGAGGTGGAGGTTTGATGAGGAAATGTCTAAGAGGGATCCAGCTTTCCCCTCGTGAATCTACTGATCTATCTAGGCATCACCGAAAGAGACAAAGACCATGTGTCACTCAGCAGAAGCAGCCAGTGTGGATTTCATGGCGCCACCTATGTCGAAGTCTTCCTCAAAGCGCTGACCTGGAATCTCATAATCCTCTAGAGGTGACGAGTTAAATGACAGGACAATTGGCCCAGGTTTTTCAGCAAATCAAAATAATTAAAACCCAAACCAAAACAAAACAAGAGCGAGTGCTGTGTGGGTGGGTGTGAGAGGGGAGGGTGTATTTTAGAAGTCCTACGGGGCAAAGCAAGCCAAGAACGTAAATAAAACGCTATAAAATCGTCATTGAGAGGTTACAAATTCTGACTATTTGATAATAACAAGAAATAATTGTTAGATATTTAATGTATACTAGGTTTATGAGAGATATGTCCTTTTTTTAGCACGTAATACTAAAATCTGTGGGGATGATGCAATATGATCTCTGGGATTGTTGTAAAATACTTTGGAAAAAGAAAAAATAGATTAAAAAGGGGAAAAAAAAAAGGAGGAAATAAGTTACCATGGGCAGATCTTAGAATTGCTGAGTCAGGTAGGTAATGGGTGTGTGGAGTTTTTTCCTACTATTTTCTCTTCTGTACCTCTCGAAAAACTTTCAATGATAGAGAGACCATGACTATGAACTAGGAAACAAGGCCTGCTATTGCTCACAGCAGAAGTTTAAGACGGGGCTGTGGGAGGCTGAAGTCCTCACGAATCTAATTTCCATACATAATGTTTACAGTAGTATTTACTTTAGCCAACAATAACTAAAATACAGATCCAATAGGATCAACGGACAGGTGAGCAAGATATGCATTTTTTTTTAATGAGGGTTCTTAATTCAACCAACTAATGAATAAAATTCAGATAGAGAAGACAACAAAAGTAGACTGTTGGTCCCTTTCTGTCCCAACTACCTTGGTCTTGAGTCCTTGCAAACATTTAGTAATACCTCCCATGAGCTCCTGAGAGTCATGGATTTACAAAGACAGAGCAGCTAGGGAATTCATTTTGTTGAACTTCAGGATGCACTTTGTTGCCCCGGGGAGATCTGTAAGAGAGGAAGAACAACCCACTCAACAGCATCAGTAAGGCGGCCAGAGCTGCCAATAGAACAGCACTGCCAATTTCCTGAGTGTCTGGCTTGTAGGGTATTTGGAAAGATGGTGGGAAGGCAATACCCTGCATGCGGGTGATGGAGTAGTAATTCCAGGCCACTGCCGCTGAGATACAGAAGCCAGCAGTCATGTGAAGAATTCCTGAACCAACGAACAGCTTGTAGGTGACACCCCCCCGAGGAACGCCTGTGTTTAGGGTCCAAAGTGCAAAGATAATGAGAGTTTTCCCCAAGAGCCCCAGAATGATGGCACCCAGCAGGAGGTGCTGGGCAACACGAATATCAAGAGGGAGGAAGGTGTCCTGGTACGTATATGGGTGACACAGTTTGATCTCGCTAGAGTAGCTCTCCCGGTGATAAATGCAGACTCTCCACATTCCCACACAGGAGAGGCCAGGGGGTGAGGTGCTCTCCATGTACCACACTCGCCACTCCGTGAAGCCCGTGGAACTAACGGTAAGGATCCATCCTATGGTGGCCACAGCCAAGCCTGCCACTTGGCAATGGACATTGTCCGTGATCCTGGTCGTGATGGCGGCAGATCCAGGGACCTGCACAGAAAAACAGGATATTGTGTCGCAAGGCCGTTGGGTCTGGGACAGCCCCCAGAGGTGAACAGTACCAGGAGGGAAGGGCTATATTGGAGAAAGGACATGCTGGGCCTTCTCACCCTGCTGCTGGAAGTGCAGTCTATTACTTATATAACTACATAAATAAATCATTTCTGATATATCGCTTTTAGAACTCCAGTTTAGTGAGAAAGAAAATGTCCAGGACCGGTAAAAACCTAAACACTAGTGAACAAATGTTGCTTTTGCTTACAAACAGCAGGGCCTCTTAAGTAAATGTCATTTCTCGCCCAGGGCTCGCAAATGACCAAGGACAGTGTGATTGTTGCTATCTTCTTCTTTTTTGTTTGTTTGTTTTTGTTTTAGAGAGGTTTTTTTTGCTATAGGGCGTGTGCGCTCGCCAGACAGACAGAGAGAGACAGAGAGACAGAAAGCGAGAAATCACCCCCCAGGGGAGATGGCCACGCCGCAATCCCTTCTCCTCCATTCTCCTCTCGGGATCCTGGGCATGCACGCACACACGCCCGGTGTGAGTTTTAAGCCACCGGGGCCAGGACGCGAACCATGGTTGACTACGTGGGAGTCCAGCGACATAGCCGTTACGCTAACTGCTGGTCCCAGTCGTATTCTTCTTATCCCCAAACAGATTGGTTGTCACTACCCTTCTGATCCTATATTGTACTACTGCATTGGTTTTTCCCAAAGCAGTCTCACCGAAGCCCATTCCAAATACTTTAATGGTATTCACTGTTGAATCAAGCATTGGGCACCCAATTAGATATTGATGAATGAATTGCTGTCCATTTGGGAGAGCTAGAAACTCTCGTAGACAGCTTAGGAGAACAGGTGTTCAAAATGGAGCTAGAGGGGCTGGCAGGTTGCCTAGTGGTTAAGGGCACTAGACTTCCACATGGCCAACTACAGTTCGAATCCTGGACCTGGCAGCTTCCTTTCTCACTTACCTTCTCTTTCTCTCTTACACTCTGTCCCTCTCTGATCAAATTTAAATAAATAAATACATAGTTAAATAAATTTAAAAAAAAATGCAGCTACGAGGCCATTTGAAATGTCATGCATTATATCTACATATCTTTGTAACACTTTTGCCATATAATGACACACACTGGGACTGAATTTTCCATTCAATTTGGTTTATAAAAAGGAGCACTCATACAAATTTCATATAAATACTTTTCAAGTTCACATGACAAAATCTTTGATAAATAAACTGGCTTCAAATATTGGTAAAAGAAAAAGTTTAATAAGTGAAGATCTTCACAATGTCCAACGTATATTTTGGAATATATTTTATTGCTAAAGCAACATCATGTTTAATTTTTTTTTTTTTTTTTTTTATTTTTTATTTTTTTTTTTTTGAGAGCTTTTTGCTATAGGGCGTGTACACTCACCAGAAAGACAGAGAAAGACAGAGAGATAGAAAGCGAGAAATCACCCCCCAGGGAGCATGGCCACACCACAATCCCTGCTCCATTCTCCTCCTGGGATCTTGGGCACACACGCACACATGCCTAGCTTGAGTTTAAGCCACCGGATCCAGGACTCAAACCGCAGTCAACCACATGTCCAGCAACGTAGCCATTATGCCATCTGCTGGTCCCATGTTTAGTTTAATATGGTTGGTTTAATAAAAGAGCTGATATTTCTGTTATCTGTTACATGGTAGATATTTGACCAATAGGAAAATGGTTAGCCTTTTTAAATCTTCTGTTCCTCACAGGTAATCAGGACATTATAGTTAAAGAAAAGTTCTGGGCTGGCAGGTGGCATGGTGGTTAAAGTGTGGAACTCTCATGTGGTCAACTCTGGTTCAAGTCCTGGACCTGGTGGTTTGCTTTCTTACACTAGCTGCCACTGGGTTGAAACTGCAAAGCAGTATGGGTTATAGGAAGTCACAGGTGTTAATCAGAATAGGCCCAAGAAGATAAGAGAAAATTTACATAGGACTACATGACAGCCAGGTGTCTTCGCATCTTCAGCCAATTAGCATCTGAAAACAACTGACTTCGCATTCCACCTCCCATTCCCTGCCCCTTCTGCCCTGAGAATAAACCTGGCACTGGCCTGGGCCAGCTGCCTCCGTCAGAGGAGTCCAGACCACCAGATCTCTGCTTTTATCTACTTGTGTGTCTTTGTGTGTTTATTTTATTATTTTTATTTATCTATTTAATTTTATTTGTTATTATTATTTAATTTGATGAGAGACAGAGAGAGAGAAAGTGAGAGAGCAAGCCGCCAGGTCCGAGACCTGAATTGTGGCCAGCCATGTGGGAGTCCAGAACCTCAACCACCACACCACCTGCCGACCCCTTTGTGTGTTTATTTTTATGTTTGTTTTCTAATCCATGGCTGCTCCCACTCAGTGCACATGATCAGCTGTGCAGGTCATAGCACAAAGGAAAGGAGAAGAGAGGAGAGGAGAGGAGAGGAGAGGAAGAAAAAGAAAGGGAATGGGAGGGGTGTGGGCAGAGAAAGGGGAAGAAAGAGAAGAAAGGAACTGAGAGGATGGGAGACACGGTGGGGATGGTGTGCCTCCACCGGCATGGAATGACAAGGTCAAAATGCATGACTTAGTCCAGGAGGCAGGTCAATAGGAAGCATGGGGTAGAGTTAGGAAGGAGCAGACATTGAAGCAAGTCCATGGAGAACATCGAGGGGTCTGGGCTTTATCAGGACCCATAAGGGATGGCCCCAGGCTATGCCCAGAAATCCCTTGTATTATTCACGACTGCTAAGACATGGAACCATCCCAAATGTCCACAAGCAGAGGAATGGATTGAAAAATTGTGGCACGTATACTCCATGGAATTCTGTTCAGCCACGAAAAACAACAAGGCCCTGGAATGTGATAGAAAGTGGACAAATACGGAAGATTTGTTGCGGAATGCAGCAAGTCAGGCTATGAAAGAGAGACATTGTATGTCTCCACTTAACATATACCGACTGTCTGCACTCTATGGTAGAGACTGAAAGACTGGAGAACATAAAAGCATTAAAAACTGTACTGGACACTAGAGACAAAGTGAAAGGAGAGTGTGGGAGGGGAAAAGCATAGGAAATTTGGGGGAAAAATGGAGAGGTAAGACACTTGTGGGACACAGATAAGGTTTATTACCTGTTGACGAGGATGTGTAAGGTGGTCTCAACTGGGCTGGACTGAGGTGTATATCAGGCTGGGTAAAGTCTCTTCACAATCTAAATGATGGATAGTGATTTCATGTATGAATAATAATAAAACAAATAAATATAAAAATATGTATATGGCCATTTCTGTAATGAGCTGTGAAATGAAAAAACAACTTAAAACATTATAAATAATAAAAACAAGTTTATATTAAAAAAGAAATCCCTTGTAGGGTAGAATGTTGCTGGCAGATGCCATATTGATGACAGTTGCTCTTTTTGGCTAGATGATCTTTATTTTTTTTTTGGAGAGATTTTCACTATAGGGCGCGTGCACTCACCAGACAGAGACAGAGAGACAGAAAGTGAGAAATCACCCCCCGGGGGGATGGTCACGCCACAATCCCTTCTCCTCCATTCTCCTCTCGGGATCTTGGGTGCACACGCACACGTGCCCAGCGTGAGTTTTAAGCCACCGGATCTGGGACGCGAACTGCAGTCGACTACGTGGGAGTCCAGCGACATAGCCATTATGCCAACTACTGGTTCCCTGACTAGATGATCTTGAACCAACTATTTTTTAAAATTATTTATTTTATTTTATTTATTCATTCATCTATTATTATTATTTTTAGTTTGACCAGAGAGAGACACGAGGGTGAGACTGAGAGAGAGAGGAAGTGAGAAAGCAAGCCACCAGATTCAGGACTTGAATCCTGGTTGGCCATATGGGAGTGTCCAGCACCTTAACCACCATGCCACCTGCTGGTCCCATTGAACCAACTATTTTTAAGGGACAGTTTAATTGACCGTTGGCAGGAAGCAATCAGGCTGGGTGAGCTTATGGGCGTGCACTCACAAGCATGTACTGAAGAAGAATGATCCGAACTCAGGATAAATGTGGAATGATGTGCATTTTGCAGTCTCCTTTGTGTGACTGTGGAAGGATACATGCGTCTTCTTTCTATGCATATGAATATGCATAGAAAATTCCAGAAGGGTAACATCCAACCCCAGAGTAGGACTCTCTGTGAGTGGAAGTGAGTCCGGGAACAGAGAACAATGCCCTGCTCACAGTCTTCAGGTGTTATTTATTTACCATTCACGTGTGTGGCTCCCATGAAAGCTACAGAAAGATAAACAGAGACCAAGAGAGAGAGACACACACACACAGAGAAACAGAATAAGAGACAGATGAAGAGATGAGGGAAGGGGTTGTCGTCCTTACAAGGAAGCTGTCCAAAATGCATTGCTAAAGGGTTGCAGAAGGATTTGTGTAGAATTATCCTGTTTCTCTGAACACTGAGAAAAAATACAATGCACTTTTAAATAGGTATAAACATACGAGATATAAAGTGTATAAGAAACAAATGTGTTTCTGATGGAGAATTTCACATGCTGGTACCTGTGAGTACCAAGCACACGCTGAGCTTTTGGAGACGGCGTGGTGGTGCTTGCTGGCCGTGTCCCTGTCACCCAGTTGCCGAAATAAACTGCCTTTTTCCCCAGCTCCTGCCTCTCATTTCTGACCACGAGTAGAGGCAGCTGGACTTAGTTTGCCAGAAACACCGTGACATTTTGGGGACCCCCGTACTGCGTGATTCCACTTCTGTTCAGTACCTAGGGGAGTCAAAGTCCTCGAGACAGAAAGTGGAATGGGGGTTGCCTGAGGCTGGGAGCAGGGGGCCTGGGAGGTGGTGCCTAATGGGCACAGAGTTTCCGAGGGGGAAACTGAACGCGTCTGAAGACGGAGGTGCTGATAGTCACATGGCAGTGTGAACACACATCGTGCCATGACCCGGACACTTGAAAATGGCTAAATTCAATGTATATTTCATATAAATTTTATGTATATTTTACTGCAACAATAAAATGCAACATCAAAGGACAGAGTGTCCACTCACCTGCTGTGCTGCCTGCATGTTAGCGATGCGTTGCGTGGAGGAAGGCCAGTCACCGGGCTAGCAGGGCTGTCGGGGCCTAGGTCCTCTCAGCTTCCTTCCTGGCTCTTTGCCGTTGCCTCCTGCCTTCCCTTCAGTTACTACGTTCCTCCCCCCAACCCCATTCCCCACACCCAGCTCCTGACCTTCTAAATTCTTGGTTGCTAGATCACCAATACCATGGTGACCATGGCTGCCCACGTTCTCATTGGCCAATGCACTGTCTTGGGCTCCTTTTTTATTTTTATTTTTTAAAGAAATTTTCCATGGTAGGGACTAGCAGTTAGCGTAATGTCGCTGGACTCCCACGTAGTCGACCACAGTTCGAGTCCCAGACCAAGTGGCTTAAAACTCATGCTGGGCGCATGTGCGTGCGTGCCCAAGATCCCAAGAGGAGAATGGAGGAGAAGGGATTACAGTGTGGCCATTCCCCCGGGGGGTGATTTCTCGCTTTCTGTCTCTCTGTCTCTCTCTGTCTGTCTGGTGAGCACACGTGCCCTATAGCAAAAACCTCTCCAAAAAAAAAGAAAAAGAAAAAAAAATTCCCATGGTAGAGCATGCACAAGCACATGAGGGAGAGAAAGAGTCATGTCCTCCATGGGATCTGGTCATGCCATGATCCCCTTCCTCTAACCCACTGGGTCTTGGGCATTCAATGTGTGCCCAGTGTATTTCAGGCTAACTGGGCCAGGATTCAAACTGTGGTCTTCTTATGGGATCCAGCTTCTCAAGTAGCACCTTTCCACTGTGCTGGAGCTGGCCCTGGCTTCCTCGTCCTGCACCTTCTCTCTCCATCAGCCCTTGTCGATTGGGCCAAGTTCGCTAGTAGCCATCAGAGTCCCCTTGCATATTCATCTGACCAATCCAGATCTGTCTCCTATCACTCTTGGTCTTCTCCCTAGAAACGTTATTGTACCCATATTACCTGGAGGGAATCACATTTTTTTAAGCAATCATAATGTTTAAATGCAGGTGTTGGCAGATGTGCCAAATACCTGAGTGGGATTTAGATGTGAAAGAGCTCTGGCAACCAACACATTTAAAAACATAGTGTTAATTCAGGGGAAATTACCTCTTTCTAAGTGAATCTTGAATTACCACTCATTGGAACATAATACACACGGTTAAGGCAAGTAGAATGTGTAAGATAGTTCTTGATTTGTGAGAAATTAGCCTGCTAACTTCGTTATTTTATTTCATTTTTTATACATTCGAGTGCTAGACATCATTTAGCTTGTAAAGAGAATTTACCCAACATGAAATATACCTCAGACCAGTCCAGTTGAGAATACTAT